CATAGTTGTCTACTTTCAGAATTGGTAGAGTTGCTGGATAATTTGCATTCCCATAATTCTCTATCGTGAATTCTTTTTCTTCCTCAATCATTCTTGATTGATACTTCCCTTGAATCGAAACCGAGCTCTTGATACCAGATGTTAGAAATCCACCAAATAACTATGATGAATTTCTACCAATCTTGATGAACAAGATTGATATCACCACACAATGACAATGAATTATGAGAAAAGAAAAGAAAAGAAAGAAGATAATTATTTTCTGCAGAGTTTTTCTCTGCCCACAAACTGTGGAAAACTTTCTTATTCACTTGCAACTGCAAATTCTGTGAATACAACTTAATTGACTTGATTGTCTTGATTACAAAACTAAGCGTTACTCCCTCTATTTATAGATTTAGCTTTCTCCCTAATCCCAAAACTATAAAAGCCTAAAATACCTATTTTAGTACTAAATCAAATCTATTCTATTTTAGACTTAAATCAAATCTATCTAAATCTAAAACAAATCTAATTTGTGTGCAGCTTACTTCGATCCACAAGCTCTTCGACTAGACAATGGCTTCCTTCGAGCAACCTGCTTCGATCCACCTCTAAACCCTTCGACACACATAGTTTCGATACTATGAATTACAATTTAACAATTATGTCTAAATAGTCCAAATGTAAATAAATCAGATAGCTTGAAAATAAACACGAGAATCCTTTAAATGCGAGAAAAGCCTAAAAAATTGTTTGACGTGACTAGAAATATTGTTGTGTAGTTCTATGGAGAGTTCTAATCACTTCAAGGCGTTATAACACACACCAATAGCGAACGAACAAGCGAGGAGCAAATGAAGACGTTAGACCATACACCGTTAATGAATGAACAAGTGAGGAGAAAATGTTGAGAATTTTCATCAAATCTACATCCATTCAAGAAGACAATGAAGTTTGAATTGATACTGCAATAAGTCAGATTAGCCATATAGTAGGAAATCTATTCATGAACAATCTCCAAGCTAAATGAGAAACCTTTAGATTAGTCACTTTATTCTCATTGAAAATGGAAATGATAAAAACTTTTGACTGAGTAAGTCATGGTTTTAAATCGTGGTTGTGGATGCGATTACAGTTGCGGGTGTTGTGATTGTAGTTATTGTGGCTGTTAGGATGAGTATAATGTTGAAAAACACTTAATGTTAATACTTTTTATTATAAATTGATTTTTGGAATTATGAAATTTTGAGATTCGATAAAAATATTTGAAAAACATGGATAAAATTGTCTAACGTGACTTCTTATGCGGTCAGATACGTGATCTTAAATCACGCTGCAATTGTAGTTTGATACGCTTACGGAGGCAACCGAATCCACAGTATTACAACCACAATTGCGGTAGCAGAGTGTAGTTTAAAACCATGGATAAAGTCTCTTCATTATCAATCAACCAAGTCCTCGTGTTTGAAATATTATTATGCAAAATAACATTGGCCAGAAAAACTACATTCATTGACTAACTCATCATCCTAAGCGAACAACCAACACTTCCATTTTCGTCCTCCTTTATCGACACCCTACCCTAATATAGACATCTTCGCTACAATCACATTTTTAAGAGCTAACCCATAAAGCCCAATAAACTTCACAAAAATTAAGCCATCATCTGACTAAGGATGTATCCAAAATAAAGTATTTTTCCATTGCCAACATTTCTCCGAAGATGATCGTCAAACCAAATATTTTTATAATCCTTGATTGAATTTAAATATTCCCACCATCTATAAGACACTATAAAATCAAAGTTGATTACCTTGTGAACCATTTAAAAAATAGAAAATGTAGTATTTTTCTTTAAATTACAAATTAATTGGAAGTATAATGACTTCAATATTGAGGATGAAGAATCTAAGGAACACTCTACCAGGATAGAAAATGATGCAGTGGGGGCAGATGAGAAATGAGATCAATAATGGTGTGTTGACCCAAAAGCCTCATAGATTTGGAAGAGTCGCTCAAAGTCAACAAGCTCAGCAGCAATCACCCCAAGAAGATGGATCTTCAAATTGGGAGGATTTAGATTACGAAATTCTTCAGACTCCTCCGACCTAAACTCTCCTCCAAATTCTCATCAAAGAGCAAAGAAGATCCAATAAGAAGATCAACTTTCAGGCACACCAACTCGCCCATATGCCAATGCCATTATAATTGTTAACTAATGATGATAAGAACACAAAATAGTCTTCATTAGTTTGTTGCCTATTTTTCTTTTCTTATTGTTTGATTTCTTTTTTCTACATATTGTTCATCTGTAATTATTTTTGGACTTAAAAACTTCAAACACAAGAGGGGGAGGGGGTGAATTGTATGATTTGGAAAAACATGATTTTGAAATTTTTTGGCAAATTTAATCAGAGATTAAAAACATTTTCTAAGTCTAAGCAGCGGAAAATAAATAAAAGAAGATAAAAGTTAAGGGAAGAAGAACACCGAGAATTGTAGAGGTTCGGTCAAAACAAAAAGGAACTAATCCTCTCCTCAAGACTTGGTCTTGAGAGTTTTCAATAATACTTGAGATATTTTAGTAGGAAATACTCACGAACCCCCTTATACAAAGAAATGATGGTTGACATTCAACCAAAATATTACAAGATGATAGATATGGTCGTTTGCGTCTTTTCTTCAAAATATTATTGAGAGTGAAATGGCCAAGCTACCTTTCCAACTATGGATTGAAGCAGTTACTCTCATTTCCACGAACACGGGCCTTGTAGCGGTTAGCCTTCAAGTTCCAAAAATCTAAGCTTAATAATCTTGGCTTTAATAGGATAAACCATAACCTCTGAGATTTTAACTGAGCTGATCTCAAACCAAGTAAGATTTTACTATCAGCTAATCTTCAACCAATCTTGGTTTTAACATGCTAACCATGAACCAAAGGAATATTTTATAATGGCTAATCATCAATGAAAATAAGAATTAATCACACAATCCCCAACCAAAGTTTTTATCAGGTTTAGCTTCTAACCACAAATAATCCCTATTTGGACAGTATTCAACCAAGGTATATATAAAACATTTCCTTGGTAAATTTTACAATTATATCCTTTTAGAATTACACAAACAACCTCACTCACAAAGAGACTTTCCTCACAAAAGTTTTTGGCTATAACATCTAGTGAAAGTAAGTAAAATAAAAGTATATATAGAGAGAGACAAAGAGATGGAAGTGTCAAAGCACGTTTCTAGATGATTTAAAATGAGAAATGAGGCCTCTATTTATAGGCAATAATGTTGCACCCTAAAATTTACCCTCTAACTCTAACTCTAATATGTTTATTCATAACATCATGTGCATTTACATCATAAATCATTCATTTATTTGAGATCCTAAGGCATGGAATCAAAGGGCTCTTGGCATTAGTTTTTTTTCTTATGGATTGGGGTTGTTACCTTTATCAAATTGATTCAACTAGTTCATTAATCACTCTTGGATTGTGAAATTAGGGTTTTTGGATCAAATGCAACATGGATATCTTCATTGGCAAGATTCCTCAAGGCTTAAAGACTCAAGCGTCTTAGATTAGGGTTTAAACCCTATATTAAAGAACATGTGATGAATTCTAAAAGCATAGAAGATTGTAGTTTCAGTTGAGATTCATTGAATTAGGGTCGATTTTGTGGCTACCCTGATCAGTTTCCCTTCAATACCTCAAGCTTGAATGTCATTTGAAGACTTCTCTTAATTACTTGTGTTACAAATCAAGATCATACATTTTTCTGTTAAAAAACTCAAGAGGCTTTAATTCGGGCATGAAGATTATCTTGGTTAAAGGTTTGATGCATTGGGTTTTTATCAAATGAAGAAGTATTCGATTGTTTGAGCTACAAATCAAGTTTCACTTACCCATCCTTCATCAATTAGGGTTTTCTTTTTTCAAGGATTACTCCAGGTTTTCTTTTTTCAAGGATTACTCCAAGGCATTGTTATGGTATTGGTTATCAAATCAAGGGCTTGTAAAGTGGGTGGTATGAATCATGGTACAAGAAATGAAGTTGTGAATTGCTTGTGATCAAGGTATTATTAGCTCTCTTGACCGTTAGTTGATTACAATTCAAGTTATATTCACCATTTCAAGGTTTCATCCATGTTTAGCGTGTTTCAAGATTCATCCAATATACCATTGCATCATTCAAAGGAAATTACGAGCTTTTATTCATCTAAAATAGATTTCATGTTCATTACGACTCACACCATGATACATTCATGTTCAAGTTCTATTCAAATTTCAATTTTTTCACCCGAAAACCATTCAACATACCAAAATACATTGACGCCATTACCAAAATCCATACATGAAAACCTACAAATTCCTAAACCAAATTCCTAAGCCTATACATCTTCAAACATATTGGTTTCTTCAACCTCCAAAAATGCCTTTTTCATCAAAACTTGCAGCCACCCTATCCAAATCCGAATTGGCTACTGCAAAATTTCACAACACCATGAACCATGCCTTGATAACAACTTGAACAACCTGCATACATCACAAAACCGCCCTGCATAACATAATCCAGAAAATAAAACCCTACTATCTAAACTGGAAAAACTAGTCCAATTAAAATGAAGCCAAGTCTTGCATCAGAAGAGCAAAAACGACTTTATGCCAAGATATCCAAACTTGAAATAAACAATATCTCAGTTCAAAAATCAAAAACAGGAAACTGTGGGGAATAATAAAATCAGATGAGAGAAAATATTGAAGATCAAAATTTAGAAAAGGAAATATAAACTCAAGAAATCAGTTCAGACACAAAAATCGAGAGAACTCAGATCAAATCTTCACCATCCAAATCTCTAACCAACTTCCTAAATCTAAGGCTCAGATCCATCGACCTGTAACAAACTATAACAGAAATAGAAAACTGATTCAGACCTTGATTCATCATCATTCTTCAAATTCGAGGAGAAGAATCACAAAAAGCTCTCTCATTCATAATAAAATTCACACAAGAAAATGGAAGAAAAAACCACCAAAATCTCAGAAGTTCCTCCTCTCCGCACTCTCTCTGAATCAATTCTTTGCACCTGTTTCACAACCGTAATCTTCTCCTACAATTCGTACCATCTTCATCTCCCTCAAGGGACCTTTGATCTTTTTTGGCAACAAAAAAGAACATCTCACCTTCAATCTGCAAATTTGATGCACAATAAGGCTGCAACAACTCAGAAATCTAAGCAAAGAGATGTAGAAGGAGAGGATAGAGCCGAGAGAGGAAGAGAAACTCAATACTTGAAACTGACACCGAATCGAAGCAGTGTGTGAGGGTGATTCGACACGAAATCATGGAGAAGCGGACGAAGACGGAGATGCTTTGAAGCTTCGCGAGGAAGGATGAATCGGGTTTCGAAATCCAAAATCTGAACTCGAATTGAATGAAAGACGAAGAAGAATAATGGAGGTTGAGACGTTTACAGGGGCAAATCGTTGATGTTCTCCAGAGAGAGGCGCACCACCGTGAGCATTGAGTTCTGAATAAAGAAGAGATCGCGATTTTGTGAAAAAAGGCTTGAAAACCTAACACGCATAAACGCTGCGTTCAACGGCCTTTCCCTTTACATGGTTTTATTAATTATTTTTTTCAACTACTGAATGTAAATAAATCTGATGAAGTGGATTGGTGGATTGGATAATGGACCGAACCACACATCCTTGGTTCTGAACTCTTTTTGATAACTTCTTGCTGGATGCAAACAAAAATTGCTACGGGATTTATTTTGATGCGTTTAGTGTCTCATTCTGAATTGCTGGATTATACTACCTGTCTGCAGCGTACGCCTTTGGATTCCTCTGTTTGACTTGATTCTTATAATTGTTACGATTGATTTTTAATTGATCGGGTGAAGCTTCCGCGAGGATTCTTGAGCTTTTACGTGCGTTGAAGAGACAACAAACCTTCTCCATTTAGTACCGCTCGAATCTCAATTGTATTCCTCATTTGTTGCATCGTTTTTCAATTAATCTTGTCACGAGAAGTAGGATAAAGATACATAACTAGAAGTCCTACCTTGAAGTAGGCAATGTTGATTATCTGAAGTCCTACCTCGAATTAGACAATGATTTTTGTGTGCTTTTATGCAATTATTATAATGATTCAAGTGGTCGAGGATTGTTCAATTATTGACCTGATTCATGATCGATCTCCTTGAGACACTTGCTGGTTGTGTGTGCCTATTGCATGTTTAGGTACCTATTATTGAGATTCTTTTTACATATCCATTGTTTATGTGATTGATTGCCTATTGCTTGTTTAGGTGTCTTTTATCTAATCTTGAGTCTTGTTAGACTTAGGTGATTGTTGTCTTGATGCTTTGATTTGAGACTTGCTTTTGGTTGTTACCTCTGCGCTTTATGCCATGCTCCCATAGGATTCCTCAATTCAATCTTAGTTTAAGACCTGAGTTGAGATAGACCTTAGAATTGATATCCAAGTATGAGAACGTAATTATAATTTCCCTTCAAAATCAACTTCAAGACCACCATTGTACATGACAATATTAAGACTTGAGTCTCCCTTAGATTTTGCTTTCCTTTGCATCAATCTAAAACAAAAACTTTTTCTTAATCAGAAAACTCAAAAACCTAATGAATAAAGATACATGTAATGCGCCATGAGTCTTAAGTACATGAAGAGGATTTCGAATTCGAGGCATCTGACTCGATCATTCAAGGGACTTCATGTCATAGACTTTAGCATGATATGTGTCTCAAACATTTTCAAAACTTAAAGGAGAAATACTCAAGTGCCCCTTGTCTAAGGGAGCTACTTAATGTATTCCCCTATAAAAAAGACTCAACCAATTCAAAATTCTTTTGCCTTTGGGATTTTTCTTTTGAAAACCTTTTCAGGTAAGAACATGTTATTCCTTTCTATGATAATGCGTGAGTCTCCAAAGACCGAGCTGTAGTAGAATGCGAAATTAACATCCTTCATAAAAAACACAAACAAACCAATATTTTTAAGAAGAACTATGGTACTCTGATTCTTTCAAGATATGTAGGCACTAGGTCTCACGACCAAAGGCGAGCACAATAATAAAAAAAAAATTCTTTTTGTTTGTTAACAACTCATTCATGCATTTTCCCTTAGATTATAAGCCTTAGATATAACACACCCTTTGATTAGAACAACAAGAGTGGGTCCCGTGGAGTACCACGAACATGAGGGGTTCTAATACCTTCCCATTGCATAATCGAATCTCATACCCTTCTCTTTGTCGCAAGACCTTGTTTTCTCTCAGGTTTGCTCGATGTTTTCCTTTCCATTCCTTGGGATAAATAAATATTTGATGGCAACTTCATTGTTTATGATTTTCCAACTTGCTTCAAAGAGGTGTTCCCAAAAAAAAATTCTCATTTAATGAATTTTACCATTGTCTAATCCATTAGATGAAAAAGCTAATCAATTAGATTTTAAAAAACAATTGATTATATGTTTCCAAAATGGACGTTTAGGATATATTACCATTGCGCATTGTGATACGGTGAGAGAACTGACTTGGGTGTTTTGCGTTTGATCGCAAATGTTGCGATTAGTAAGAGTTGCCACCGACTTTTCTTTTATCCAAAAGGAAAGGTGAAAAAGCACAGGAAAGACCTTTGAGATTGTTTCTTGAGTTCGGGGGGTAGATTATGAAAAGGGAAGGTATTAACACCCTTTTCATCCATGGTTTTCCATGGGCTCTTAGTTACTTACTAGATCACTTGCTTTTTGTTTGAAAAATTATGCTTGGTGTGGTTTTTGAAAATATTTTGTAAAGAAGCCATTGTTTAGGCAATCTTTGTAATGATTCTTGTCTGTAAGAATGTATACAAAGATGTTTGATCTTTTGAAAATGTTTTTAATTTTGTAAGATGTTTGAAAGTGTAGATGATTGTTTTGAAATTAGCAAGGATGTTTGTTTGAAATTGAGAAAGTAATTAGGAGCATTCTACCTATTCAAAAGTCTTTCTTGTTCATTTCCTTTTTCCTTTGACATTGTTAACTTACCATTGATTTGGTAAGTAACCCTATCTTTGGATGTAAACGGGACGGGCATGGGTCATCGTATAACGATGATTAGCAATGTTGCAAGGTATCTTAGCATTCTTTTTTAGGGACTAAGATCATTTGAAAGGCAACTTAGATAACGTCATCGAGGGACTATGATCTTGTATTTGCTTGTTTTTGCTAAGATACCTTACATGCGTAATATGGCCATTTTGGCAACCAAGTGGAATAACCCTAGGGGTGCTTGTGTGCAAGTGTATTTTTTTCATGCTTGTTTTTGTCTTGAATCAGGGTTTTCTAAGTATTGGTTTTAGTCTTTCCGTACAAACCCTAATCACTAGCATGTTATATAAAAAAATGATAAATTGCGAAATTTAAAGTTACTACGCTATTACAACATTTGTGGGGAGGGGGTGTACAAATTGAATGGGGATTGCAAGAATGTAAATCTAGTTAGTCTATTACAACCATATTGAATGAGTATCAATGTACAAGGAATTAAACGAATACAATGTGCAAAAAGAATAAATATGCAATAATGTGAAGGTGAAGAAAAATGAACATTTTGTTTGGATTTTTAGAGAAAAGGATTTTGTCTTAATATAATTCATTAAAGAAAATAATTAATTAAACTTAAATGTAAACCTAATTCACTAAGAAAATAAAATTAATAAAAATCCTAATTCATTAATTGATTAGAGGAAATAAGTTTTTAAAAAAATTATTTTTTGATATTTTTGTCTTGAAAATGTTTATAGTATTATAAAATATTTTTGGCCCTTTTTATATTAAAATAAATATATTTTAATAGGTGTAAAAATAAAATAAATACTAATCTAGTTTTAATTTAATATACAAGACTAGTCCATAAAATAAATAACGTGTAGTTAAATAAAATATTTTTTTGTGAGAAAAATAAAATAAACTAAGTTAAAACAAGAATCTATTTTTTGTGATTTTTTAATATTAGGAAAAATATTTAAGAGAATAAAAATGAAATGAATAAAAAATAAAAATAAAAATAAAAAAACTTGGGCCAGGGGTGCAATTAACTTGCAGGGGGGTTAGTAAGCAAAAAAAAAATAGTATAAGCCCAATAAGACCCAGGCACTTACAAAAATCAGAATGGTGCAAAAATATGAAAAAAACACAAAAGGGTACCATTGAGGCTCGAACCCAGGTCCCAAAGGTTACAGGCGCGCGCTTCTACCATTGGGGTGACTATACATCCGTTAACATAGGCAAATCAATAAATACGTAAGGCAAAACGTGCCTTGATGACTTCATCTTCAACCTCCAGCCAGACCAACTGTAACTTGCTCATTTCTCATCAAAAATGAAAACTGTAAACATGAAACTTGAGGCAAATTTTCTCACGGTTTCAGAAATGTAAAGCATTAAAACTATAGATCAAAGATAATCATGAATTTTAATGGCCCTAATCTGAACCCTAAAAGTCTCAGAAATTTAAGTTTCAAAATTCTCTAAGCTCAAGCAAAATTAATGAAAACTATGGACATGGTTAGCTTCAGGGCAATGATATCTACATGTTTTATTCACAAATAAACTATTGACGATGCCTGTATGAAGAGTTCAAAGTTGAGAAAACTTACCTCAAAACTGGAAATCGTGTTTTGAGTTTGAGCTTGTTTCAAGTGATGGTGATGATCATGTTAGCTTCCTTGAGGTCCTAGGAAGCTAATGCAATGATTAGCTTGAACAATGGATGGCTGAAATGGTCTGGAGAAGTCAATGTGCAGAGCTGAGTTTTTGAAAATGGAGGATAGTGTTAATGGTGTTACAGTTCTCTAACAGGGTGTGGGATTGATTCTATGTGATGTTTAGAAACTTTAAAAACTAAAAGTCCAAGAAACGCACGAGTAGATTATGAGTTTCAAGTTTTTGGTCAGCTTGTATGAAAATGGAAGTGTGAAGTGTGATTCTAAGTTCTAGGTTATTTTATGGCTTGAGCATTCGTGTGTTTGTGTCAAATAGTTTGTGTATGTATAAACAAAAGTGTTTGAGTGCATTGGCAAGTCAGAAGTACAAGTTTTCTAGCTTTTGGCTAGGTTACTTGATTTTGAAGAAAAGAGGGAAACAAGTTTCAAGGAGAGGTACAAGCATGGGATGGGTGATTGTAAGTGTTTGAAACATTTCTCATGAGTTATAGGACCTGTTTGATCAGAAGAGAACAAGTGCAAGGCTCAAGAACAAGTTTCGTACAAAAAATCACTTTATCAAAATGACAATGTAACATTTCTTCCAAAAATGGATA